GTAAATCAAAAAGAGCAAAGGTCCTAAGACTGGGCCCTGAGGTACCCCACTTGTGACATTAATCCAGTTTGACTGAACTCCATTTGTAACAACCCTCAGCTTTCTTCCATCCAGCCACTCTTCTATCCAATTTGTGAACTTATCCCCCACACCTATAGAGCTTATTTTTTACAAGCCTTTTATGTGGCATCTTGTCAAATGCTTTCTGAAAATCCAGATACACCAAATTTACACCCTTATCCTCATCTACATAAGTAGTAACCTATGTGAGACTGGTATACCACTTTTTATGTGGGAGATTAAAAGAGATTAAACAAAACTTGAGTATCCAGTTGCAAACCACAGGAAACAGGATTCAACTGGGCACTACTAAGTATGAAAAAAAGTGAAGTTTTCAGCTGTAAATTTAGTTGAATGGCACATTGAAATTTCTGTGTGTGGGGGGAGGGGGCATAAAGTTTTTAAAAATTAATGCTATGACGTTTGAATCCTGAGCCATTTTAAGTATAAATACTGCATATACACAACATAATGTATTGTATTATAACTATATATGTCATGAAATGTGATCAGGCCATAGCATGGTAGACCTTAACTCTTCCTACAGCCTTGTCATATAGATTGCTAAATAAAGCCAACAAGTCAGAATTCAGTTAGATTGCTGTTAAAGAAGCAGTAAGAGCTAAAACACCAAATGAGAACTATCTAATTTAGGATCCAACATGATGGGTAGCATGGAATCAAAAAATGCTAATGAGTAATCTAAGAACTAGGTAAATGAGGATTATGTTGTTTAGTTATGGCTATTGTGGGGTCACTACGACCTGGAAAATAATTTTTTTAGGATTCAAACAGTTTCTAATAGTGATACGCTGAGATTGTTTTCTAAACCTTAGTTTCATCACCAAAAACAACAGAAACATCTTTTAACACAAAACTCTCGATCTGTGATTACTGTGTAAGAAAACATATTAAATATGTTATTTTATAATTAAAAATTATTATTATTAGAAAAACGAAATACAAATCATAAATAAACTCACAAGTTCTCTTGTTCCTCTCACACCAGATTGAACCTACAAAGAAGGAAGAAAATATAAAATCTTCTAACATGTTCACAAGTTTAATGAATATTAGTCAGTGTATCCCAGTTAATTGAAATCCTGACTTCATGATGCAAGTATTGATAAATTCGTAATCCAGACTTAAGTAGAATGAATAAAGAGTTTAGATATGAAATCATAAAAGATTTAAACTGTTGTAATGATCTGAAAAACAACAACAACAAAACAGCCCATTTTTAGTGATGAAAACCCTTCTTTTATTACATATAATCTATAGATAGCACTATTACATGTACATACATATTCCCCATTTCTGTTATACTAAAGAAAATTATAATCATACAAAAATATCTTTACACAAACTTATTAACACTGTCACCATTGAACTTTAATCTTATTTTACCAAGATAATTAATTGTATCTTACTTATTTTCTTCTCTAAATACCTATAAATGTGTGATCTTAACTGAAAAATTATTACAAGATTTGAGATAAAATGGAATTTTGTACTAAATAATTTAGGCATAAATAGTTGTTATTACTTAACTAATCAAACATTATAGCCTTGAAAAAATCCTGTTCAATATTTTTCTTTCTGTTTTTCTTTTGTGATCTAATAACAAGCTGTTAACAATGTGTTATGTCACATAATTTTTTAACATAAATTCAATATATATTATGAGGAAAGTGCTTGATGAATTTGAAGAAGGAATACAATTGTATGGGATGTGGGAGATTAATAGCTAGCTTGCATCATGCAGATGACACAGGTCTGAATTGTGATAAAAAAGAGCAGGTATGAAGACTGACTGAAAGGTTGAATGATGCAAGAGTGCCAAACAAGGTTTAACGCTAAATGTAAAGAAAATAAAGGTTAAAGTGATAGAAGGAGATATAATGGGAAAGATGTAGCTCAAGGGAGAAGAAATCAAGGAAGTAATTCAAAAATTTAGGATTCATGATTAACAATAATGGAGATTTTTTTTGTAGATATTAACAGAAGTCAAACTGGTGCAAGAAAGAGCATGGTAAAAATAATGACTATGTGGAAGAATTTGAGTTTACCAAGATCACTAAAGTTTCAATTAGTTATTTTTCCAATTTAATAGTTACTCATGGTTGCAAAAGTTGAATGTTAAGGTAGAGTGATAAGAAGTTTTGAATTGTGGTGTTATAGGAGAACGATGATAATATCATATACCAAGAGGAAAATGAATAAGTAAGTGGTGTAAAATATAGGATGTGAAAGAAAATTGTTGGAAGATATCATCAAGTAGTAACTATCATAATTTGGGCAAATGATGAGAAGAGATGGGACCTGCTTGGAGAAACACATCATGGAAGGCTCTTTAAAGGTAAAGAAAAACAAAGAGGAAGATTAGTCTTAAGGTGGAGTGCTGGGATAAGAAGGCATCTGCAAACGTCAATGGTGGAAGCTATAAGAAGATTGGGGGAATCAGGACTGTTGGATGTTGGCTTATGGCAGCCACTACAGTTGCAACATGGATTATTACCAAGATGTTGTTAAATATTTATGTATTTATCTGCATTTATAAAGATTCTATCTACTGCCTGAATATTTTGGATGTTCTGCTAAAATTATTGAAGTTGATATTTTGGGCACCTTTACCTGTTAACTATTGACTGTGGAATGTATTTAAAATGATTTGTTAATTACTTTTGAGCTTTCTACTGACAATCTAAAATCATTATAAATTGTGTGGAAATTGATATACATTTTATGAAAGTGAACATTTTCATACTTTGGAAATGTATTTCCAATAGGTACTTACCTCTAAGCATTGCTAAAAAGAAACATTTAGCTACAGTACACCAGTCTCTATACCCCATAAGTTTTGCGCCAATTCATAACATGTGCTGATCATGTGACTACTCTCCACCAATCATACTGCACCATCTATACTGGCACAGCTACCTCCTTCTACTATTCTAGAACAATCCTCACTTTTGAGAATTGGCAGGCAGAAATCTACCCCCTTTTCTTCTAGTAAAGCACAGGAGGCCTAACCACTTCTGGTTCCCAGTCAATGGAGTGGTGGACTGTGGAGGTTTCCTCCTGAATGGGTTTTGAAAAACAAAATAAAACTTTCTAGACCATGTGTACCCGCTCAGCAAGAGAAGGCTATAGTTGTTATAATCATTACAGAACCGAACAATGAATTATATAATAATATTCAGTATCCAAGGTGCTTTCCCTGGGTGTTTTTTTCCCAGGCAAACCACACTTGTTGATCATATATTTCTTATGCAAGGCACTTCCACTGGACATTTTTGCCTGGATGAACCACACTTGGCATATCCAACGTATCCCAATATGCTTCCCCTGGATATTTTTTGCACAGGCAAACTGCATTTCCTTTGGCATATACTAATAAGGGGAAGTGTTGCATACACATAAGCCTTTCCATGTTTGTCAACACCATACTGATTTATGTCATAGTTATTCAGCATTTCCTACACTGACTTTATTGACTTCAGTGGTGCCTGTCAATTCAGTTCCACCCAAATTGTGTTACTGTGTTGATTGGTTGATGGAGAGCATACCTCTGCCATAGGTAGTACTGCATCCTAGTGGTGTGCTTTCTTTTCATATTCTAGCACACCTGTTTTTTCAGTGCAGTCTCTTCCCACTTGATTTGAGATTGATGTGCCATCACCAGCCCCTTCACCTTGGAAACATGGGATTCTAGCTTTTTGTTAGAGGAGGTGGTACTGTTTTGGAAGTTAACATTTTCTTACTCTAAAAATATTTTTCCAATAGGTACTTACCTCCACTTCCCACCCTTCCTCCTCACTGAGATGCTGGTGTTATGGGGGGGTAAAATACATGTTGGGGAGCCCGGAGGAATGACACACCAGAGACAGTGCAATGGGTGTCTGCAATTCCCTATTTTGAAAAGCAGATAGACCCTGACTGTAGGAACCATGGGTCAATGGGGATAGACAGAAATCTCCATCTACTTTGATTATGAGGTTCTTAAGTGACAGTCCTTTTTAAATGAAACTAGTAACTTTTAGTAGAAAAAAAATATAGATTCACATATTACCAAACAAGCTGCTAGTGGTCTTACAGAAACACCCATCTCAACAGTGAACATTATAGAATTATTCATATCAAGTGCAAATATAATATGAAGCATACCTGACTAGGCAACACCTGCCACCAGGTGGGATCCTGAAATACGATATGTATCAACTAAGAATATATAGAAAAAGTAATATGTTGGCTTACCCCCAATCAAAGGTGAACAGATGTGTGTAGAATTGCCACAGAAGGAAGACAATACCTGCCTGAAGAAGACACAGCCAGATCATGCAGATAAAGTGCAACAAATGTATTGGGAATTGTCCACATCCCAGCCTGAATGATCTCCTCCAAAGGCCAGTGAAGGCGGGCAGCTAAAAACCCAATTACATGGTGAATTGGGTGCAAAGAAATATTGTGCATATGTCAATCGTATGAGTTGATGAACCCAACCAGTGAGTGCTGTAGGGGACAGATAATGGAACACAGGGGAATCATTGGAACAAACAGACAAGAACAATAACATGAAAAGAGCTGTGCAGTATGAGCCACATAACATCTTGGAGAATGAACATGACAAAGAAGTCTATCTGGAACAGAGGAGAGTACTAGGGGGGGGGGGGAAATGGAAGGTAAGAAAATAGGAACGAAGACCAAACCACCTGCCCATTCAGCAGATGTCTGGGATAGGAATGCCCAATCAGGATAGAGGATAACATAAGGATGGTAAAGGATGCAGGAAGAATCACTGGCATAAATATCGAAATAATGATGACTGCAAACAAGGAAGAAGACTTAAGGGAAATATGGTACAAGGAACATGTAGCAATGGGTTCAAATGGAGAACTGGCCAGGGCATGTAGGACAAAATTGAGAACCAATATGGCAAAACCAGGGATGTAGAGGATGGAAAAGATGAAAGGAACAGAAAAGCTGGGAAATAACATGGAATGAAGAAGTTTTCTGGAAATGGGAGAATCAGAAGTTGTTCAACAGGGCAGCCCTATAACTAGAAGCAGTTGACATGTACAAACCCTGTCAAACAACCAGATGAAGAACTGGGAAAGATGAGATACCAAAGGATGGGATGGGCAGAAGTCACAGTAAACAGACCATGATCTGAAGGTAGACCACTGCCTCTCGTACACAGACAAGGAGGAAGGACGAATGGAACAGGATGGAAAGATGCTACATGAGGGGTGAGTCCTTGAGCTGAGGCAAGAGACTGGACAAAAGCCATGCATGCAGATGGAGTTGAGTGATGTCAGAATGAACTATTTCCAACTGCAGTTGTCAGAGGAGAGACTGGGACAGAGGTAAGAGCAGGGGATGTCATGCCAGTAAGGGCCAGAGCAGAAGGAACCACGTCTGAGCATGCCAATATGAAACAATGAGCAGGACACAACAGGAGTGGTCTGGATAAGAGAAAATACTCTGGAGAGGAGTCTGATCAGAGAGTAGGCATGTGGTTGAAGATCCCTCTTGACTGAATGCATCTACTCCCAAAGGGTGTGGAATCAGAGACCAAAAGGAAAGAATTTTGGCATTCCAGTGAGTGGCAAACACATCTATATGAAGTGTTCCCAGTTGAGAACACAACCTCCGAAATACTGTGGAAGAAGGGACCACTCCATGTGGATAATCTGGTTGGGTCGAGATAAGTGATCAATCACCAGATTCATAATGCTGGGAATGTAAAATGCTAAGATAACCATATAGTGGTTGTGGGCCCAGTAATAAAGATGCAGAGCCTGAAAACACAAAGATCTGAATGTGGTTGCCCCTTGCTTGGTGATATAGTCGATGGCAGTGGAATAGTTGGAATGAACCACAACCACCTGCCTCCTCAGAGTGCAGAAATAATACAGAGCTCAATGAACTGCCAAAAGTTCCAAGATGTTGAAAATGGAAAGCAGCCCCCTTGATAGACATTGACTGTAAATCTCTTGGGAATCCACGAAAGCCTCCTAACCAACCAAGGAAGCTGAGAATCTGGAGAAGGTGGAAGAATAGAACCCCCACCATGGTCAATTCTCTGTCAAGCCAAGCAAGGTCAGCCCTGATCCCAGGGAGGAAGGGGAACAGGATGGTTCAAGGTTCCATCGCTTGAGAAGCATCCACTGAAGGGGATGCATGTGAGCTTGATCCAAGGGAATGAGAGCTTCCAAGGAAGCCCATATCCCCAAAATAAAAAGAACCCTAACACAGTGAGAAAAGGAGAAGGTAGGGCCATTGATACTGGTCGCTCCATATCCCTGAGCCAAAGTGGAGAAGACTGGGCCTGAAGATGGAGATTGAAGAAAACCCCCAAAAGACTAAGATATTGAGTGACATTAAGAATGGACTTCTCCAACTGAATCAGAAAACCACACCAAATTGGCTTCCTGAAGAACTAAGCAGGCGTGATTGACGACTTGGCACGGGAAGAGGTGAGCGGGAACTAGTTGTTAATGAAAGGGAAAGTCTGAAGACCCAATGATTGGAAATGATGGGCAAAAGAGCATGCCACTCAACAAAACACATGGAGCCAAAAAAGGACCAAATTGAAGCATTTGGAAGAATTGAAAAAAATGGCGTGACACTGGGACAGTTGGAATTTGAAAATAAGCATCTGTCATGAAGATTTGGTCATCCAGATTCCCGTGAAAAAATCCCCCATAGTTAGAGTTAGGCTCCATGGTGAAGTGAAATGGCTCCAGATAAGAGCTCAACTGGGATAGGTCAATGGCGGGTCTCTAATCTTCCGTCTTTTGGGGGACAACAATTAGATGGGAGTAAATCCCTGGTTGAGTGGGTACCACCCATTCAACAGCCCATTTCTGTAGTACACTCAGTTAACAATAACAAAATTTGACTCAAATCTAATCCCCACTTAGATGTGACTAGTAGTAAAGAAAAAGTAACTTACAAACTAACTAACATAAACAGTGAATAGTTATATTCGTCCTCACAAAAGTCGTAACGTGAAAGGAAGAAATCGTTGGCGGAAGGTAAGACACGAACTCCCGCGAACTAAAGCTTATGCTTCCCCAGCAGGCATCATTGACCCTGAGAACTGGGACTAGTGTCAGAACCACTGTCGACTCGGGAACTTCACCATCCGCCTTAATATATTTCGAATTCATATAAACAAATTAGAATTCGGAAAATAGAAGTATTTCTAAAACAAATGAGTAAAAAGAATCGAAATACAAGAAGTCAAAACTTGAAGTTGAAACGGATATATATTTGTGATCAAGCACAATCAAAATTTTGTAGTCACATGGAGAGTAAGTTAAAACTCACATCTACACACTAGAATGCCAATTGAGAAAATGAGGATTGTTCTAGAATAGTAAGGGAACTACCTGCGCCAGTATAGTTGGCGCAGTACGATTGGTGGAGAGTAGTCATATGATCAGCACATGTTCTGAAATGGTACAAACTGTTGGGGTATAAAGACTGGTGCACTCGGGGCACTCCCGTCCCCCCCCCCACATTAAATTCTCGGTATAAGATTTTTAGATCCCCGCTGCCCTGATGGACCATCAGTCCGATATCGGCCATTTAGTTTAGTCTACTTTGCTCTTCGCTTTTTATTTTACCGTTACTCTCACGTTTACCTTTTTATATTTACATACCTTGTCTGCATTAATTTCCTGTTTTCTCAAGTCAAGCCCATATTCCTAGGCCACGCGCGGAGTGAAGGAGGATTGTTTAATCTTCGAGCACCCTAAATTAGTAATTATTTCTTCGAAAATAATTATTTTTAAATCTAAATAACTACCAGAAATAACACACTGGTGCACTGTAGCAATTTTTTTTACCAATCCAGGATCGAGATAGATTTGGATGAGAGGAGATAGTACCATTTCTGAAATGTATTTATGATACGTTTGATTGTCTTTTTGCTTTTTTTCATTAATGCTCCAAGTAAATAATATTAAGGTAAGCTTCAGTGTATTTTAAACCACTGATTTATAAAGCTATCATTAAAAAGTTATGCTTTTGAAGTGTACAAAACTACTGCTCAAAATATATAATGGACCCGAGACTAGATGCTACATGATGTAGTTCGACACAATAAAAGGAAACTATTTGTTGAGTTTAACTTTTATAATGTCTAAAAAGTTATAAGTAGAAATCTCCTAAATGAATAGTTAGAAATTTAAACAGTTACCTTTTGTATGTATCGTATTGGTGACTGTAAAAAGATAATTATATATACATGTTAACAATCTTGGATAAAAAACAGATGAAACATGAATAAATTCCAACAAATTAATTATTTAATACTGAAATCACAATGATTTTTATTGTATAAACATTTGAAGTTACTGTTTCATCTACAATAAGCTATTGTAATGACTGAAATAGTCACGAATTTCATTGTTCCATAACTCATTTAAAATATATTTTTAATTATATAGATATATATATATACACGTAATTTATCTAAATTTTCATGCAGGTGTTCTGCATATAGTAGGACATTCTTGTAAACCATTGATAAAAGAGTAAAAATTTAGTAATTAATCATTTAACTTAAATAAAGCTTGCATTTGCCTATAACTAGAAACTCATACCACTTTGGACCTCTCCCAGATATTTGTATTATTTGGAATGAGTTAGGTGTTTATCCCATATAATTGTTGTTTTGAATAGTCGGTGATGTATGCACTATTTGATTCTGGTATACTGCACTTTTACTTTCTGAGTTTTGGCAGTAAATAAGAATTCCTTGACTCATTGTTATGTATGGATGTATATAGAATTCTTTCTGTCCTTGTTTTTCCCTTTTCCTGTGTAGACATTTGTTCACCCCTGTTTGTGTTTTCTTCCTTTTATCTCCATGTTTGATTTATTCTTTATGTAAAATTTCCAAAATCTACATTTTTAGATACTTTGGACTTATTCTTTGGATGCCATTGGACCTGAATAACATATAATTTAGCTGCTGTGTGCCTGTTAATTGATATTTTGCTCAAACCACATAAAATCATTTGTACAGAGATGACACAGTTTGTGTTTTTCCTAACTTACAATAATGTAAATACTTCTATAACTTCATATAGATTTTCAACAGATATATGATTAATAGCTGTCATACATTCAATCAAAAGCTTTATGTTATAAGGAATCTAAAATAATTTCCCAATCTAGATTGTTCAACACATAATATCAATAATTATCACATATTCAATTAAAACAATTGTTTAAGGAATTCAGAGTAGATTGCTAATGGCACATATTGTACTTTTAATGCTATTCACCAACAGTCTGAGGATTTGAGTTGCATATAGCTCAGTCCTAAAAAAATCAAATTGATCTGGAATCCTTTAGATGTCTATGAATAAATTACAAGTAAGCATAATGCAATATAAAAACCAAATGGAAATTTATACTGCTTCCTTCTACCATAACTTAGATATGATCTAATGTCTGATGATCACAATAAAATACAAGCATATAATCGCTTTAAATACATAATCTAACAAAATATTACTATGCAATTTACAGTGACCAAATGTAAAAATATATGTGATTAAATTACTTCTTTTCTGGTTTCTAAAATGTATCTTTCATTCACAGAATTAGTAAAATACACATTTTAAAAATATTTCAATGGATCAAGTTCTTTCAAATGAGTTTTACTCCTATTATTAAAATATAAGTGTATTTTATGTCTAAATTTGCTTCTTATGTCTGTGTGCAATATATTCAGAGACTGTGTTGCACTATTAATTTGCATTAAGGTTTACTATGCTTACATATACACATATATATGTGTATAATTGGCAGAGTAGTTTGGATTGTTATAATCTTTCACATTATTCTGGAAATAAACATACCTATAACACACATTGTAGTATGCGAATACTACATATCTTACTTTCCTATAGTGTACAGGCCCATTGAGAGGGCAGGGATATTTCCTAAAGGGGCCCATGAAACAACAAGAGAAATGTTTATGGAATGTGCTAAACCAGTACAGAATATTATTATAAGCATTAACCATGCCTTCAATCATTCCAAAAACTATTAAGAAGGTTCACATTCCAAATTTTCCCAAGGGCCCATGATGGTGGCCTTGATAGTGTATTTTTCATATGTACAAGATGTTTATTTGGAATATATTTAATATGGTTGAAGTCATATGCTAAGTTTAACCTGAGATGCTATTTTCTCTAGCAGTTCTAGTCAGGGGAGTTAACATTTTCGTAAATTGAAAATGTATTTCCAATAATACTAACCTCCTCTCACGGTGAAATGCCAGGGTTTCTTTCTTTGCCCATCTAAGCATAGGTCTGATTTTGTCTCACTTGTACCAGTCTTTTATACTCCACTCAATTGCCCTTGTATATATTGTTACGCCTCCAGTCGTAAGTTAATTTTCCGTAAATTCGTTTCGATGAAATTTTAGCGACACAATTCCTTTTTTTAAATAAAACTGGTTTATTTCTTCTTAATATAACTTTGCGATACACTTAATTTCAACAGTCGTGCTATAATTCTCAACGAACGTCTCACGAGCTCGACTTCAACAATACTCCATTCAGTTACACACTCTCTGACTGCAGTTCAACTACTCACTACCTCTGTTTTCCCG